GATAAAGAAGGACCAGTGACAGGCAAACCAGAGGAAGTGCCGATATACCTTCTCTCTCATAAACATTACAGGCCATCTACATTAAAACAGAGCAACCCAAACTCAACAAAATTAAATTTCAAACCAGTCACAACATAATACAATCCTTTAACATATGGTTCTGTTGATAACATTTCTTTCTCTCAGAGGATGAACCGCATTACAAATTTGCAACATGCGTCTTCTATTCCGCGATCATTATCATCACATAGCAAACTTCTAAGTAAATAAAACAGGATGTCAACTTTCATGGTGAGCATCATTATTGTAATGACTATATAACCAGTCTGATGATGGGTCATGTGAGCCGAAAGCTTACATGACGACCAACATAATAAAGAAATATACAAATGTTGGACAGTTTTTGTCTATATATATATTATATTATATATATAGTATATATTATAATATTATATATATGTAGTATATATTATATATATAGTATATATTATATATAATATATATAGTATATATTATCTTATCTTATCTTACTTATTATAAAACGCAGATTGTGTGTGTGTGTGTGTGTGTGTGTGTGTGTGTGTGTGTGTGTGTGTGTAACGTTTATATATTGGATCGGATTTCCTACATTTTTCAACCGATTTCAACAAAACTTCACAGGACTACATAAAATTACCTTGTAGTGGTTCTAACAGCGCCAAAAATGGGAAAAATATAATTATTTTTGTACAAAATTAATTTGAAAACACGATTAAGAGACATTGTGAAAATGGAAGGGGGACAACTCACATCGGATTTCCTATATTTTTCAGCCGATAAAACAAAACTTCACTTTTTTTTTTTTTGGCAGGTAGTGTTTCTTATTCTTTTGCACACTTTTTTTCTTTATTTTTAACATTTAGAATGCTTTAAAAATTCCATTTACAAGACAATTATTTATAATAAAATTCTATTCAATCAGTAGACTCATAACGATTGAAAACAATGTTTTTGTTTGAGTTTGGGTTTGACCAATTCGTAAAAAAATTTTAAAAAAATGAAAAAATTAATTAAGACACGCGTGTCCGTCAACCTTAAACAATAATCTAACGATCTCTACTGATTGTACGAATACAAACATCGGAATAAATTCTTTATCTTTAGATAAATATCGGAATAAATTCTTTATCTTTAGATAATGAAATCTAAACATACACAAGTCCTAACTAAAAATAATAACCGGAACGGGAAACTACTTTAAATACACATGGTGTCCAATTTCTTTACTGTATTCAATAAGTAAAAATCATAAATTGTAAAAGATTATTATTGCAGAAAGGCTACTAAATGAATAAGATTTGTTAGATCATAATTAATAAACCCAAATAAAGTTAATATTTTTTGTATTAGAAACAACGAGTGGAAAATATATTCAAATCAGAATTCTAATTATGAATCACCACAAGCAAAATATGCAATTTTTTTTTACTGTATTCAATAAGTAAAAATCATAAATTGTAAAAAAAACTAAAAGATTACAGAAAGGCTACCTACATTTTTCAACCGATTTCAACAAAACTTCACTTTTCTTTTTTTTTTTTTTCTTGGCATGTAGTGTTTCTTATTGTCTTGCACACTTTTTTCTTTATTTTTACATTCAGAATGCTTTAAAAATTCCATTTACAAGACAATTTATAAAATTATTCTATTCAATCGGGAGACTCATAAAGATTGAAAACAATGTTTTTGTTTAAGTTTGGGTTTGACCAATTCGAAAAAAAAAAAAAAACTAAGACATGCGTGTCCGTCAACCTTAAACAATAATCTTTGTCAATTTTATTTTTCAGTCTTTATGATGGTGGATACTTGATCTATCTCTTACTGTTATATCCCCGGGCAACGCCGGGCTCTTCTGCTAGTATATAATATATATTGTATATAATATATATTATATATAATATATATTATATATATAGTATATATTATAATATATATATTATATTATATATAATACTAGCAGTAGAGCCCAGCGTTGCCCGGGGATGTAACAGTAAGAGTTGAGGACGGCTGTTGCTTTGGAAGATGTGCTTTGTAAGTCGACAGGAACTAAGTTTCTACAAAACGTTGAAACGCAATGCACACAAAGTTTAAGCAGACATCATGCAGGCCCAAGTATTCGAAGGTATCGAAGGAAGTAAAGGAAAGCCGTTGTAGCATCAGTCATTTGCCATTACTAAGACATCTATGAGTAAAAGCTGGCAGCAGTTACTGCTTTAACCAATTGGACCGTTAAGCATTACTGGAAGCACTTGTGGTAAGTAGTCAAGAAACCATAATTCAGTTGCAACATACATAGGGATTGAAGGGAAAATGTGCCGTGAGGAAGCCATAGACATAAAGTATGTGCCGTGCGTAATCACAAACAAGCCGCTTGTCTAACTAAAAGACGCGTCTTATGCCCAAAAGACGGTGCTGCCACGACCGCAATGCAGAATCGTAAAACCGAGAGAAGAGCGAACAGTGACGGGGTGTCATGGTAAGAAAATTTCTGTGATATAACTTCCTTTATTCTGATCTGTCACTATCTACATCGCGGCTGAGAGCCCTTAAAACCGCAACGGGGTTAGCCGTAAGGCCGAGCATCGTAATTGCCATGGAGAAGTGCCTTCTCTTCAGTCGCAGTCAACATCACGGCTGAGAGTTTATGAAAACCGACCGGGGTCGCCGTACTTGGCGTGTGTTTTTAGGGTTTTTTACACGACTACAAACAAAACAATAGAGCCGTATGGCTGACATGTTTCACCCATGGCAGCCGTAAAATGTATATGGAAGCAGAAGCCTGAATTTCGTAGACGCCCTCGACTTTTGTGACAATTAAACGAACTCCGAAGCTTCTCAAGTGTGAATGTGCTTGTATGCATTGGTACGAACTGCAGGTGCTCCGATCAACTGTTAATGAAACCGGAACTTTAGTGGAGCAATCATGTCTAATGCCGGTGTTCATGTGTCTAGCAGCTTGTGTTGCAACTGAATACGGTGAGGTTATCATAGTGTACAAACAAACGCAATGATGCCGGGTGAAGGTATGAAAGTCAGAAGGCAGTAAAAGAGCTGGATAACCTTTACAAAGATGTCTTAGTAATGGCAAGTGGAGACTACGACGACCTAACCAATATGACAAACAAAAAAAATGCCATGCGATCGGGCTGCATATGTGTGCATGGTGCTTAAACGCTACCGGGCGGGTTGTCTACAGGACCTCCGTGTAGGTTATGTTTCTAGCACAGTTGTTGGGAGAGTAAATGAAAACCCTGTCCTTAGACCCAACTCGTGAGCACCCAACGTAAAGTTGGCCGTGAGAGAAGCACTGCTCACGTAAATGCAGACCTGCGATGCTAAGCGTCTGTCCTTGTGATTTGTTAATGGACATAGCAAAGCAAAGCTTCACGGGAAATTGTTAGCGACGAAAGTTGATTGGTATGCTTGCGTCTGACGGCAGAAGATGCATCCTGAGAATCAGAACGACTTCCCCCTTGCCGCAGCCAGTTGCAATGGTCGCCTTAATCAGGTTCGGAGAAAGGCGAGTCCCATTGCACTGTTTAGGTGGGAGCAAATTCCTGATTAGCATAATCGGAGCACCAACTTTGAACCGAAGAATATGAGGTGGGAGTCCGGACGGCTGAAGGGAGTTCAAAACTTCTATGGGATACTCAGCTAATTCAGATGGATCGGAAGTTCTGTCGATGGGCTTATAAACATGACATTGCCCGGGAATGCAATCCAACAGTTTAAGGTTGATGGAATCAACTGTACAGTTCTTCGGTGCCAATATGTCCCTCCCAGCAATCGGCATCGGCAAAATTAGTGGATAGGTTGTAGAAGACTGCATTCATCAATTCATCCGGTGATTCAACAGTGGTGGCAAGCTGATCCATCTGCACAAAACCCTGTGTGTCAGATGGCATTTTCCTCTCCCCAAGAGCAAGAAGGTCCCGTGCGAAGTCAGCGGATCTAGAGTCCCCATTCAAGTAGGCACGCATGTTCGTGCTCAGTTTAAGAGTATGCACATGGCGCCAAAGGGCAGGCGACTTCAGGCCTGCGCGGAGAGCGTCAGCGAGTGTACCTTTAGGAATAACAGGTAGAGTCTGCCTAAAGTCGCCTGCGAGGAGAAGGGTTACTCCACCCATGGGGTCGGAGGAGTCGCGGATGTCTTGGAGACTTCGGTCAAGTGCCTCAAGGGCGCCATTATGTACCATCGTGCACTCATCCCAAACTATAAGTTTGCATCTCCGCAGAACTTCAGCCTGTGGCGAATTCTTTGTTATGTTGCAGAGAGGAGTTTGTGACCGGCATAGATCAAGCGGCAACCTATAAGCCGAATGAGCGGTTCTAGCAACGTTGCAGCAATCCCGGAAGATGCAACCGCAATAGCGATCTCCCCACGACGCCGTACCTATGCCAGGACTAATTTAGTAACAAAAGTTTTGCGAGTTCCTCCGGGCGCATCTAAAAAGTATATCTCCACTGGAGCTGTTTGCCCTGTCTGTTATGGTAGTGAAAGCAACCCTCTGATCAGGTAGAAGTTTGGGTTCGTTTTCGGTAATGTATGCGTTCAAGCCCCTCGATGGAATAGGATGTTTCCTGCAATAACTCAGTTGGTACAGAGTCAAAACCGTCTCTGAGTGTTGGTGGTAAACCGTAAGTTGGTAAAGAGGCACCTCCCAGTTTGAAAGTGTGCCTCTTAACTGTTACAGTTCTGCCGCCCTCAGCGGGGCTTCTACGTCTGTACAGTGGACAACTGTCTGTCGCAGTCTGCGTTTCTGAGATAAACTTACCGGGGTAACCCTTTGCGCAAGTGGGGCCACTTGACCAAAATGACCTTTTTTTCGTAATTCGCGCTACAGGGGCCGTGTATCATATTGTTTTTAATGATTTTGTGGAGCAAAGGATCCAGCGTAGGATCCGGAATTTCAGCAGAAATAAAATCGTTTATTTTGTTTGCGTCAACCTTTATCGTTGAGTCACAGCAGAATGTGGGCATGAGGCACACTTTGTTTCTGCCATTCCATTGTATACATATGACACTTAACGCGTCCGAAGACTTGCCCTTTAAGGATTAAATCCATAAGCTTACACAGCTGTAACCAGAAAACGCGGGCAATTAGGTCAGGGCGGTGTGAGTACTGCTGACCTGGAAAAAGTTCGCGTGTGATTTCAACCCATTTCGGATTGCACGTGATCGTGACAGACAAATCAGGCCTCCCGTAATGACGGACATAGGTTATTGCATCTTGTGTCCTTTCATGCATGTATCGAGGGCCACCAGTGTAAGAGGAAGGCAAAATGCACGGTTTGCCGAGATTGCGTGGGTCACCATCAGAACGCAGCCCATCACGAAGGTGAATGTAGGAGTCAGTTCTAAGTTTGGATTGGTTTAACTTGATGAATCCTAACCTCTCCGACTCCATTTTTGCAGCCATGTCAACAGCGAATTGAAGAAATAGTTGACGGCACCTGTGCAAGTGGTTAAATTCACCCTCCCTGACCATAAACATGTAGGCGTAGTAAGCCCTACAGGAGATCGTCTTTGAGGTCGACATGGAATCGCTGCTTGCCTGGTATATTGGGATTTTGAAGTGGTACCCATCGCTTCCGTATGGAAAAAGAAGGGTGTACTGGAGACAGTCGTATAAACGGTGGGTTTCATTGATGCGGCGTAGACCACCGCCCCGGTACCTTATGACAATGTCACGGCTGTTATGCTCCTCACCGTGGATGACTGCGGCGACTTCATTACATGCAGGAGCATTGAAGCGACGCTCATGCTCAACGTGAGGCCGTCTGTCTGCATCGATGACAACGCTGAAAGAGGGCGAAGAATTGTTTTGCAACGCAAACTTCGGATGTAACTGTTAGTTTCGTGAAGCATGTCTTGTAGACGAAACAGAATGTCTCTACGGGGACCGACGGAAATATCGCTAGGCAGAATGCCGAGATGCGCATCAACCTGCTCGTTGTAGTCAGCGAGAACGTAAATTTGTAGGAACTGAGGTGGCTCTCCCTGATCAACCAAAAGTGATCCCATTAAGTGATAAACCTGGCCTTGCACTTTGAAAGTAGGCATCCATCACCCCTCACTAATAGCCTTCGCACCAAAACACGTCATCTAGAAGCAACAGTTGTACTTCTGTATTGCTTCAAGAAAATGCGTTGACTCCGAAGTTGTACCCAGAAGGAGGTCCCTAAGCGGCTGTGGAGGTTCGTCTAAAGAATGGAGTTTGATTTTGCCCCCAGAGCAACAAAGCTCAGGTTGCTCACCGGCCCACTTTTTTCGTTGCAAAAAGTGCAAACTTTATCCATGGCCCCTATTTGTACGTCTCTCCTAGCGGAATAGTTGACAGTGCAGTCATAATTGTATGCGGCATTTGACAAAAATGATGCAGACGGCGAAGTTACGCCATTCAAAGAAGCTCGAAGTTGCTAATGTTTTCGAGTCCTTGACGGCGTACTTCAGAGTTTTCTGCAGCCCTGGCAGACGCAGTAGAGCGGGCATTTCTAACGCGACGAGCAGTGGTCTGTGCAGGACTTTCTAAGGCTCTGGCAGACGCGGTGGATAGGCTATTTCTAAAGCGACGGTGATCGGTTTCTTGGGGTTGTTCCGAAGCTGTAGAGGCGGCTGTAGCCCTAGTATTCCTAAGACGACGTGAAGTTGTTTGTTCGGGGCTTTCTAAACCCCTGGAACAAGCTTTGGCGGTGGCATCCCGCAAACGACGAAGGGTTTTCTGTGCTGGGGACTGTGAAGCCCTCAACCTAGCCACGCAGACTGCGTCCTGGGAATTCTGAAGTGAACGTTCTTCAACTGAAAGCCTGGCGCGGCGTGCGGATATGGTTGAAGCCAACCTTTCAGTCCGCGCAGCGGCGCTTTCCGTAGATAAGCGAGCAGCTGAGCTCGAGGCCATCCGTGAAAGACGCAAAGAAGTCTGTTCAGGGTTTCACTCACTCGCCCTTTGCTCTCTAGCAACAGGAGGCAGCTGCCGTGCGCCGTCCCAAAAGTTTCCTCCTTTTAGGTGGCATCCAAACAGTAAAAACGTCAGAGATTTCGACAAATCCAAAACGAAAAAACATGCACTGTTAACGTAGACACAAAAAGGGAAACACCCAGTAAAATGAGTTCAGATGTTACTAAAGGGGAACTCGAAACTAAAAAAGTGGAAATTTAAAAAGGTAAACCAAGGGTAAATCCAAAAGGAAATGGGTTTTTAGTACAATTGGCTAATGAATGTGGGGTTGGGTTGGAACTATAGAACAAAAAAGCAGCTAGAACACGTAATCAACAACTTGCAGTGTCCAAAGTAGACGAATAAAGTAAGCCAAGTGCGTGCACGCGGGCAACAATAAACGCAAAAGTGTGAAAGCACACCCGAGTCACGCAATAGAGGTGGTTGACCTTGAACGCACTCACACATAAGCTGACGCGCGATCACGCGGGCGCGACAACGTATGAGAATTCCTGCGCGATGATTGGACAGGCCCCAAGGTCAAGTTCTGTGAAAGCGACCAATGGGCTTGCAGCAGTCTCGGTATCGATACGCGGACTCGGTTGTACGAAGCTCTGTGTGTGTAAGGAAGTTACAAAAAAGTTTGATCCGCGTGCAGCTACGGTTATTGTTGCCGAAAAATTCTGAAATTTGAAACACATAAAGGCGGTAGTAAGCCGCAAGTGTGTTGTAAATTTCATTTGAATCAAACCAAAACTGTACATACTGTGCCAGTGAATGTGTGTTCAGAGGGCTAAATCATGTCCCTTGGTACCCCCGTTTATGGTTCCCTGGTCAAGCGGCTTTGAAAATCTTGCAAACAATTTAGTACTTGTTAGATAGCCAAGCGTTAGTGCTATCAGAAACTGGACCATTTGCTTTGTTTTAGTGGCTCGGTAACAAAACATCGTCCAAAGACTGCGAAAAATCTGCATAAATGGCCCTTACCCGGGCTTTCAAATTGATTTCGTGCAAAAACAATTGCGTTTTCCAATTTGTGGCGCTGTCAGAACCACCGCCGGGTAATTTTACGTAGTCCTGTGAAGTTTTGTTGAAATCGATAGAAAAATGTAGGAAATCCGATCCCATATATAAACGAACAGACACACACACACACACACACACACACAACCTGGGTTTTATAAGTAAGATATATAGTATGTAATGTATATTATATATATATATATTATATATCTCATATATAATGTATATTATATATAATATATATAATATATATTATATATAATATATATTATATATAATATATATTATATATAGTATATATTATATATATATATATATATATAGTATATATATATATATTATATATTATATATATAGTATATATTATATATAGTATATATTATATATAATATATATATATATAATATATATTATATATATATATATATTATATATATATATATTATATATAGTATATATTATATATAGTATATATATTATATATAGTATATATATTATATATTATTATATATATATATTATATATATATAGTATATATTATATATAATATATATCATATTATATATAGTATATATTATATATAATATAGATCAAGTATCCACCATCATAAAGACTGAAAATAAAATTGACAAAGATTATTGTTTAAGGTTGACGGACATGCATGTCTTAATTAGTTTTTTTTTTTTTTTTATGAATTGGTCAAACCAAACTCAAACAAAAACATTGTTTTCAATCGTTATGAGTCTCAAATTATAAATAATTGTCTTGTAAATGGAATTTTAAAGCATTCTGAATGTAAAATAAAGAAAAAAGTGTGCAAGACAATAAGAAAAAAAAAAAAAAAGTGAAATTTTGTTGAAATCAGTTTGAAAAATGTAGGTAGCCTTTCTGTAATCTTTTAGTTTTTTTTTTAATTTATGATTTTTTACTTATTGAATACAATAAAAAAAATTGCATATTTTGCTTGTGGTGATTCATAATTAGAATTCTGATTTGAATATATTTTCCACTCGTTGTTTCTAATACAAAAATATTAACTTTATTTGGGTTTATTAATTATAATTTAACAAATCTTATTCATTTAGTAGCCTTTCTGTAATAATAATCTTTTTACAATTTATGATTTTTACTTATTGAATACAGTAAAAAAATTGGACACCATGTGTATTTAAAGTAGTTTCCGTTCCGGTTATTATTTTTTTAGTTAGGACTTGTGTATGTTTAGATTTCATTTATCTTTCCCTAAAGATAAAAGAAAAGAATTTATTCCGATGTTTGTATTCGTATAAATCAGTAGAGATCATTAGATTATTGTTTAAGGTTGACGGACACGCATGTCTTAATTAATTTTTTATTTTTTTTTTTTTACGAATTGGTCAAACCCAAACTCAAACAAAAACATTGTTTTCAATCGTTATGAGTCTACTGATTGAATAGAATTTTATTATAAATAATTGTCTTGTAAATGGAATTTTTAAAGCATTCTGAATGTTAAAAATAAAGAAAAAAGTGTGCAAGAGAATAAGAAACACTACCTGCCAAAAAAAAAAAAAAGTGAAGTTTTGTTTTATCGGCTGAAAAATATAGGAAATCCGATGTGAGTTGTCCCCCTTCCATTTTCACGATGTCTCTTAATCGTGTTTTCAAATTGATTTTGTGCAAAAATAATTATATTTTTTCCCATTTTTGGCCCTGTTAGAACCACCACAAGGTAATTTTATGTAGTCCTGTGAAGTTTTGTTGAAATCGGTTGAAAAATGTAGGAAATCCGATCCAATATATAAACGTTACAGACACACACACACACACACACGCACAACAAGTATCTGATATTATAATAATATATATATATATATCTTTATAAATAATAAATAAGTACAGGACGTTATTATATATATTTATATAATATATATATTAGACATAATAAAAAATTCTATAAAGTAAGATTTTATTATATATATATATATTTTATAAATACAAAATTATACAAAAATTAAAATGACTTTAAAAATATATTATATTAGATGATATTTCTTTAAAGGAAATATATATATAAAAAAATAAAACAAAAAATATATAATTAAAAACTTTTTTAATTATAAAACTAAAACAAAATCAAATATGAAAGTTGGTCCATTTTTATTTTGACTCCAACTAAAATGACCATCATTTTAATTCCCAACTACAATACACAACTCTGGTTCTCTTTTTAGTTTGTTTTCTTTGGACAAAATTTTTCAATCAAATTAACATATTTTATTTAAATATTATTTTTTATGATATTTAAAATGTAAATGGGATTACAAAACCGTTTTCCTTATTTTTTCAAAACATAAAATCATTTAATTTTACTTTACTTCTCATTCAAATTTTTATGTATTGGTTGGTGTTCATGGATAATGGAATGAGATAAAAAAAATTCTTTTTAAAAAAAAAATCAAAAAAATCCAGTTTATTTTTTTTTTTTTTTCATAATTATCAGCATTTGCAAATAACTTTTTGGAAAATATACCCCTTCAATCCATTTTCTTTTTTAAATTATCTAATGAATGGATTTTAATAGTAGAAGCTGTATCTGGAAAATCTTTATTCTTTAAATTCATTTTAAATTTAATATTCACTATTATAAAATTTCATAATTATTCTTAAAATGTTTTTTGAATTTTAAATAAACAATAAGGGTTGATAAATCCATTGAAAAATATTTTGATGAATTTCACTGTTCAGTCAGTGATCTCATGAATGAGTCAGTTTTATTTATCAAATTCTATTTAATTCTTTTATCTCCCAACTTAATGTCCCATTATATTTCATGATATATTTTAGTATTAAATGGGTAGATTATAAATTTTTTTTTTTTTTTTTTTTTTCTGATAGTGTGAATCAGTTAGAATTGTTTTAAAAAAAAAGGAAGGGAAGGAAAAATGTTTGATAGACACTGGAATTTTTTCTTGTGCTGCTTCAAATATATTGATCTAAAACAATCAGAAAATTAGGAAAGCTATTAAAATACAAACTTGTTCCTCAATCTTTCCTCAGAACATATTTTTCCTCTTTCAGTTCTTCTAATCCAGAGAGTATTCTGAAACCTGCATTGTAGTATAAATTTTCTTCATAGGTTTTTATTCATACAAACTCATTAGTCTCCTCAGTGTTTTGTATCTTTTCTTGATTTTCTTCAGTGTGGAATTGGCCCAATAATTGAAACATAAACTAAAAAAGATATAAGACAAAACAAGAACTTTGGACAGTTTATCCACATTATTTTGATGCTTTTTTGAAATACAAGACTTAATAAATTAAACACAGACTTTGTCAGTTTGAAAAGCAAAACTTTATTTGTGTTTTTATGTCTCTGTGTTTATTACAAATAAAATGTAAAACATTAATTTTAAAAATTGAGACAATTTGGTATATCATCCAAGTGGGTCCTAGTAATATAAAAATTCATTAAAAATTGATCCACAAAAAAAGATTTTTTATTTTATTTTATTTGTACAGAGCAATACCATGAATAATCAGAAAAATTTGTTTTTTATAACATTAATGGGGCATAGACTATTTTACAGTCAGATGAAATTGTACACGCTGAGTTGTACTTTTCAACAATGCTGTGTATATTTCTAAAAAATTGACAAACAACCATTTTTACATATATATAAATATATATATATATATATATATATATTTATGTTTCTATATATATATTCATTTATGACAATTCAAGTCTTTCAAACGACATCGTCGCTGCACCTGTTATATTATGTGGTCGACTGTCTCCAGGCAAGTCATAAATGAACTTACATTTAAAGGAAATTTGAAAAAGCCTTTGAAAGAAAACTGAAGATTTTTTTTTTTTGAGAGATGCAGAACACACAAATCTAGCACTTTCCGGATGCCGTGGTTTTTTTCATTCTTGTTATTACAAATCCATCAATTGCTCTAACAGAAGATCAGAGAAGATAATGTGAAATGATTAAAAGATCTGTTCCAAATTATCATGGATGATTTAGGGTTTTTGAACACACTATGAATTTTTAACCTTGTAATTGCTTGTAATTAAAGTAGCATTTTTATTATTTTTTTGGTCACTTTTTTCAACAATGTCGACTTTGTGTTCTTAACAGTTTTTTGTTTTAGAAAAATCTTTTTTGTGTTCATATAATCTTTTATTTAAAAAGAAAGCAAGAAACATTCTTCTATGTATTCTTTGTGAACGATGTGTTCAAGACAGTGTAAATTGAAACTTTTCTTTTTACTTACCTGTTATTTTGTTTTGTATCCAGATCTTTCGGCTTATTGTTTTAGAAGGAAAAAAAAAAAATTTTTTCTTTTTTTAGATAATTTTGGCTGAGGATTTTAAAAATCATAGAGTTGGTCAGCAGTGGCATTTATTTAACGTCCATTTATCTTGTTTTTTTTTTTTTTTGTTTGCCTAATCCATTTTATTTTTTGAAAATTTGATGAAAAAATAAATGAAGACCCAAACAAACTTAATGAAACTGATATTATAGTACCTACTAATTTGATCACAACTCAAGTATAAAAATAATATATCTAATATAAAATTTATTACACGTTTGATATGGAATTATATATATATATAGGCCTTGTTATATATATAAGGTAACCAAAAAAGTTCTGTCCGTTTTTTGATTAGTCATTGAATGAAGTTGAAATATATACGAAATGCGTGTAGCAATTGTTTTCAAATTCGGACAGCCGGAAGTAGGAACATCAGACGTTATAAAAACACGCGCACCGTGCCCGAACATCAGTTATAAGCCGGACAGCTGTGAAAAGGATGGAAGTGTCTAGAGATCTCGTTCGGGGCTGTTTGCCTTACGACTTCAAAGTGGGCTTATCAGCAGCTGCATCAAGTCGCCGCATATGTCAAGCGTTTGGGGATAGTGCTGTGGATGAACGTACTGCAAAAGCGTTGGTTTTGAAAATTCAAGTCGGGAGATTTGTCTCTCCATGATGAGCCTCGCAGTGGACGACCACAGGTCTTGAATGACAGGAGTCCTGAAGGCGGCCATTGAAGAGACAGTAGTCTAACGTGTGGTGAACTTGCAAGACAGTTCAACGTTTCTGATGAAACAGACTTCACCTGCACCTGCCTAGGTAAGACGTACAAACTGAGCAAGTGGGTTCCACAAACGCTGTTGGAGGTCCACAAGGGACAACGAATGGCAGCCTGCGTATCGCTGCTTTCTCGCCACCGTACCGCATCCTTATTCAATCGAGTGCTTACCAGTGATGAAAAGTGGGTTCTGTACGAAACTCCCAAGCGTTCCAGACATTGGTTGTCTCCTCAGGATGCTGTCCCTCACACCGCAAGACCGCCTATGCACCCACGCAAGATTATGCTTTGTGTCTGGTGGACAGGTCGTCAAGTGGTTCATTATGAACTGCTACCAACGGGCCAAACGGTCACTGGAGACCTATACTCACAGCAATTGAAACGTGTGCAACAGGCATTGCGCCAGAAGGAGCCAGCACTGGTGAATCGCAAAGGTGTGCTTTTCCTCCATGACAACGCCAGGCCGCATGTCGCGCGAGTGGTCAGGGATACCATACAGCAACTTGGGTGGGAGACTTTGTGCCATCCACCTTATTCACCTGACCTTGCGCCATCCGATTACCCACCTCTTCCACTCCCTGGATAATCATCTTCGTGGGAAATCCTTCACCAATGAAGCAGACTTTCGCAAAGCCCTCACGGACTTCTTTGCGTCAACCACCAACCGCCCACCGAGTTCTACCACAAAGGCATTGAACAGCTGGAGACACGTTGGCAGAAGGTGCTGGATGCCGATGGCGATTACTTCGAAGACCAAATATAAGTTACACATACTGTGAAGCATTTTCTTTTATTCCTTTAAAAACGGACAGAACTTTTTTGGTTACCTTATATATTATATATTATATATATATATATATATATATATATATATATATATTATATTATATATATATATCATATATATTATATATATATTATATATAATTAGATATCACAGATGAAAATTTTCAACAGGTACTAGGTGTTATCTGATTGCATCTTAATCTACATGGTTAAAGAAACTTAGCAGTTTTTATTCCATCAAAATTTCTCAATCCGTTACATTTTGGCAGATTTCTTTTTATTTTTACACATTTTGTCTATTATGGATTAGAATACTAGTTGAATACTATACTAGCTTGTTAGGTACATAACAAAGAAATTAATAATAAAATTGCAGATAGTATCACTGCATATTTCTTAAATAAATTCAGTCTGAATATGCAAATTTTATAAATCAAAACTTGTGCAACGACGTGCAAACAACTCATAACCTGAGGTTTGACATTTCATAAAACTGGAAATAAGACCCACATTCATCCCAAATTTCAAATATTACATTATGACTATACCAGCAACATGCCTAATTTTTGGGGAGTGTCTTCCAAATGGATATATTCTAGATTATTCCAATTCAAAATTGAAAACAATTGCTTTTTTAGTACCTTTTAGCAAATCTGACTCTTAGCTGCCAATCTCGGACCAAGGATCCCATGAAATGAGAATTTACGCACCGTGGAGGAGTTTTTCACCGGCCTTGATGAAACAGATCACTTTCGTTTCAGGCTTTTTTACAGCAATCGCTAATTTCCTAAGTAAAAATCATGTCTCCACCGGTACAATCCTTCAAATTTTTTGCCTTCAAAAAAGCGCTTAGAATTTGTTTCAGCGTTTTTCCAAACAGAAATTTAGACGATGGTAAACTCGCTCATCCCCCAAGTATGCAAGTTTGCAGGACTCGGTAGTACATCGTAATTAGATTGCACTAGAAATTTAATGCGACTGGCGTCGGAATGCAAACCAAATTTCTGACCAACTTATTTTTTCCGCCGTAAAATGTTTCCCAAAAGTGTCCATGCACCCTTTTTTTTAGTACCACCATCTTGTATAATCTTTTATCCTCAACGTTGGCTCATACTTCCTCTTGAATTAGTTTTCGTCTCTCTTTTCCATAGACAAACATATGTTTAACATTCTTTTTATTATTTATCTTATTATATTATTTATTTATTTGATACGCATAAGCAGAGCAGACAACAACGTACGTGAGAGAATCATGGAAGATTGAAGTTTAAATACAGTAAATTCGACATTTGCTAACAGAACGCTCCTTCGTGAAGAAAATCGGTAAAGGCACGTCAAGCTAAATGACAGTTCCATTTTAGGATACAAGTTTGAATCCTGTCGGAGGACGAATATTTTTATGAAAATTTCTCGGACATTCAGGCTGGTAAATTTTCAAAAAAACTGTTTATTATAAACAGAGCATTTACTTAAATATTTTTATCTATAATAAGAATGTTAAACATAAAAATGTCTTAAAATAATTGTCAGACTTTGTCCATCAAAATATATATATAATGTTTCTTTAACCATGTATATTAAAATGTAATCAGATAACACCTAGTACCTGTTTGAAATTTTCATCTGTGATGAGAGGTTATATATATATATATATATATGAATATATATATATATATATATATAACATATATATATAAAAATATTATATATATATAAAAAAAAAATGTCTTAAAATATTTGTCGGACTTTGTCCATTTCATAATGTGTGACGTCATTTGTTTACATTTGATACGCATGATATGAATGTACGTGAGAGATTCATGGAAGATTAAAGTTTAAAGACAGTAAAATCGACCTTGCTAACCGAACGCTCGTCTGTGGTTGAAACGGTTAAGGCACGTCAGGCTAAATGACGGTTCTGTATAGGATATAGGTTCAATTCCTGTCGGAGGGCGAAAATTTTCTATGAAAATTTCTCGGACATTCAGGCCGGTAAATGTTGTTTAATACTGTTTATTATAAAACAGAGCATTTGCTTAAATACTTGTATCTATAAAAGAATGTATAAACATAAAATGTATTCAAATATATATATATATATATATATATATATATATATATATATATATATATATATATGTAGGGGTGATTGAGTGCATGCGTCTCAGGCTAAGCTTGACTTAAGCCCCCACAGCTTCTGCCTCCTAACCGCTTGCTTGCTACCTTCCCGTGGTCCCCTCTGTTTCTCACTAAATGCATGCAAGTGACCGAGTGGACTGGTGGTATAATCAGCTCCACCCCCACCCCTGCTGCCTTGTAGGGTTTGCTTTTTGAGGCAAAGGCTAGGTGAAGGAAAACTCCGATATAAAACCAACAAGACCCCAACGGCGGAGCTTAGTAGCGATGGCGGAGGAAGGCCTTGAAAAAATGAGAACCCGGCAGCCCGATGCAACCAGCATCATGGAGGTCGCCTGTCTCGTTTCTCTTGAGCCGCAGTGGAAGCGATGCTGGTCGAGTGTGTGTGCGTGGCCGTCGCGCAGCCACGACCACCTAAAACAATATCCTCAGCGACTGGCATTCTGTCGTTCCTTTTTTTTTTTTTTCTTTCTTTCACATATTTTCATCCTTTCACCTCCATCATCACCACCCGAGTCCTGTGGCGATAGCACCGCGAGCAACGGGGGGCAGGTCTGGAACGCTGGAAGCCTTCAGCCCGCTCTCTGGTGACATTACCGTTGACACCCGAGTTCGGCAGGTGGACCCGTGACTGAGCTGGCCTATTGAGGACCACCACAGCCACACCCACATGGGGGAAGCCCCAGAAAAGGTGGGGCAAACATGGACACGACACATCTGGCCAGTTTACCGCAGCGGTCCCAACAGTGGAAAAAGTTTAAACAATAAAATATCCTTACACTTGGTGCTTGGAAGGCACCCTCCAAGATGTGGCGAATTATCCGCCCGGAAATGGGTTCTTTGACCGGTCCCCGCTCGGGAAGGGCCCCCTCCCCCGGCCTGGGGGGGTTTAAAGCGCCCGATTCCCCATCGGGGGGCAGACAACCCGTTTGGATCTCCCCCTCGGCCTCACCCGATGAGAAAAGCCGATTTCCCCCCAAACGCCCTACCATCGAAGGGGACCCCCAACAAGCTTTGTCTGGGTGACTTTAAAGCCAAGTAGGGGACCATCGCCCAGGGGAATAATTGGGCAACGGGATCAAACTGTAAGCGACAAAGGCAGCGGGGCCCGGTTTAAACACTGGCTTTTGGCATGTCCCAACGAAGAAAAGGGGGAAAGTCCCCATCATCCCATCCATCCGGGCGGACGACGCTGGAGGATCGCCCGATCTCCCGACATCCCCGAGAACCCTTGCCACCTAGAAGGACCGGACAGCGTAAATTGCGTCCCCCCTCACAAATTTTAGAGAAGCTTAAACCCCAAGCAGAATGGATCAGGCCCCCTGTGGAGCACCAGCCCCCTCAAGACGCCATGACCGCAGGGGGGAAACCACCCTACTCAAACAAAAAGGGACTGGTTCGAGGGGAGTTAGGGTTCTGCTTCTTAAAACAAACGTAAACCGTCTGGAGAAAGCCACGCTTTAATAAACTTTTTCAAAAAAAGCCGTAATGAAAGGGCCGAGAACCCCGAAACCGGGTGAAAAAGCGTAGAAAAAAAAGCTGCGAAACGAGCCCAGCGCACCCCGGGGCAAAAAAAGGAAAATTTTTGGGGTCCCCACGCTCATCGTGGCGGACAAAGGAGTGGACGCCCCATCACCGACAGGAGGGGATTTGGGAAATGAGGTCTCCTTCAGAACCTCCTCAACGACCCAGACGATCTCCGGAATGACCCCAGCCTCCTGTCCGTCCCCGGGTGGCCCACACCCCCCATCGAGGGCTTTTAAAAACCCTTAAAGGCAGGACCCGCAAACCCAAGACCCGAAAAATCCCCCGGGCTCCTCACCCCCCGGGCCCGGATGAGAACCGTTCTTCCCTTTTATTGAAATTTGGGGGGAAAAAACCCTCCCCCGCGCTTCCGCGATGCAACGGTTAAAAAAAAAGGGGCGGGGGCCCAGGGAAAATTAAACCCCTCGCCCAAGATCTTCCCCATTTCTTAGACCGTTTTTCGTCCTCGCCGGATGTTTCCAGGTCCCAATTTGGTTTCGACCTTCCGGGACCCTCGAAAGATCTTCTGCCCAAATACAGAAAAAAGCCTGAAACAACGCCTGAAGTTCATCTTTGGGACCTAAAAGGCCTTTATAAAGGACCCACCCGCTGGATCCAGTAGGTTTGGGTGCCCAGACTTTTTGCCTGGTGCGCGCCCCGCATGACGGAAAGGTGGGGGGAAAATCCCCAGCACCCTCTGGGCCCATTACTGGTGGCCCAGGGTGTGTTCCAACCCCAAAGTGTTTTCCCCCACAACAATGCTAAATGAGATAAAAACCCCCCCAAGACCCCACCCTTTTTTAATTG